ACGGGCAATGGATTTTCGGACAACTCGGATTTTGGAGAGCTTAGAAGCTGCACCGCCTGTCACTTTGGCGATGCGCAGCTGGGAAAGCTCCACCTTCAGATCGTCCAGCTGTTTTAACAGCTCCTCCTCCTTCTTTCCGCGAAGGTCCAGAGCCTTGATTTTGGCCATGGCTGAGCGATAAAACCTTGCTGTCGCCTGATCCAAGCCCAAGAGAAAAGAGTGGTTTCTATTTTTAAGGAGTGCTTGTTTATTCAGGGCTTCTTTCCATTCCAAAAGAAACTGGAGATTACCTTTTCCATCTCCTTGAAGAATGGGATTGGTATTTTTATTGGGATTGCAGTGAACGTGTAAATTGCCTTTGCTAGTATTGCCATTTTCACAATATTGAGTCTTCCTATCCATGAGCAAGGGATATTCTTCCACTTCTCCAGGTCTCCTTTTGTTTGTTGTAGTAATGTTTTGTAATTCTGTTTGAATAGATCCTTTGTGCTTCTGGTTAGATTTACTTGTATTTAATCTTGTGATTATATTGTTTAGGGTATTATTTTTTCTTAGCTCTAGTTCTGTATTCTCTTTGTCACTGTGGAGAATTCCAGCTGATTTTTGTATGTTGATCTTGTATCCTGCCATTTTGCTGAATTGTTCAACTATGTCCAGTAGTTTTCTCACTGAGTTTTTAGGGTTTTCTAAGTATACTATCTATCTGCATAGAGAGATAATTTTACCTCCTTTATGCCAATCTGGATGCCTCTTTTTTCCTTCTCTTGTCTTACTGCTATCACTAAGGCTTCCAATACAATATTGAATAAGAGAGGTAATAGTGGGCATCCTTGCCTTGTTCCTGTTCTCAAAGGGAGTGCCTTTGGTCTCTCTCCATTGAGAACAATGTTGGCTCTCAGGTTTGCATATATACTTTTTACTGTGTTGAGGAAGTTCCCCTCTAATTCCATTTTGTTGAGTGTTTTAATCAGGAGGATTTTGTCAAAGGCTTTTTCTACATCAGTTGATAGGATCATGTGGTTCTTGTTCTTTGCTTTGTTAATGAGATGAATTAAACTGATGGTGTTTGTTATGCTGAACCATCCTTGCATACCTGTTATGAATCCCACTTGGTCATGGTGAATTATTTCTTTGATGTATTGTTGGATTCTGTTGGCCAGTAATTTATTCAGGATTTTTGCATCTATGTTCATAAGAGATATTGGCCTATAGTTTCATTTGGTTAATATTTATTCAGCATCCATGTTCAGGCATTCACCAGAGTAAACTCTAGTTTCTAAATGAAGTTTCTTTCTCAAAAATACAATAATAAGTATTACTTTTTTAAAAGGGTAAAATAGTAAAAAATAGATTTATTAGAAAGTTACATCCCCAAAGGGATGGGCATTCCTTCTTGAAATCTGGAGGGGAGACCACAGTAATAATTATTGAATGAATGAACTGTAATTGATAATAGCAAGTGGAATGTGAAGAATTAGATATACGAGTAGGCTGTAAAAGGAAAGCAGAGAGGAAACAGTTTGTT